CACTGGCTTTATCGATTTTTTGCAAAGTTTAAGCCAGGAACCGGGATTTGGCACATGGGAGAAAGCGAGCATGCCGATTACGATTGTAATAAGTGTTCTTGGAAGAACCTATATTTTTGTCGATTTTTCTATTCTTTGTAAAATTAGAGCTACACGACTGACATTGCACAAAGTTGTATGTGAGCATGCTCACTGCAAAGATAGTTTTTGAGAATTTCCATTACTTTTATTGATTTCATCTTTTTTTTCAAAGCTGAAGCTACGAGGCTCAGATGGCACTGATCCGGGGGTAAATGAGCATGCTGAGAATTCTATAATCACACTCGGAAATGACGAAGGCGGTAAATTTACCTAAAGTTGCTATAAATTCACTTTGGCCCGCCTTTACCTTTTTGAATCCTACTTCTGCCCCCAAAATTAAAAAGGCACATAGAGCCTGGTTTCGAGGGAAGAAAATGCTTATAAACTGGGGCGGCAAGCAGTGGCGGACCGAGGGGGGGCGGGGGGAGGGCGCCCCCCCCCCGAGAATGGGTCGCGAAATTTTTGAAACTTACCTATATGGGTTATAAAAATGTGCAAACGACTTGTTCATTTATGTAAATAATTGAAATAATCTTTAAAATTTTTTAAAAATTCAAATTAGCTTTATAAAAAAATTTTTTTCGGAGGCGTGGCTGACGTCACGCCCCCTTTTTTCAGATTTTAGGGGTTGGGGACCCGCAAAAATTTAGAGAAGCACCCCAAAAATTTTTTCGGAGTGCGCGGCTAACGCCACGCACCTTCATTTGAAAAAAATTTTTGTCGCGCCCCCCCCCCCCGGTCCGAAATCCTGCGACCGCCACTGGCGGCAAGATATTTCGGTACTTTTCCGTTGTCTGGACCCATTTTTTCAAAGAAGAGCATTGCTTCCATCCTTGTACCAAATTTGGTCTCAGCTTTACAGGGAGGAGTGCCAACCTTCTGCCACGTGTCAAAAAAATTTAAAATGTCATTTACATGCTTAAGAGGTTTTACTAAGAGTTTTCGTTCAATCTGTTTTGTAGTCAATTTCAACCTCATTTCGATCAAGCATTTCAAAGTGAACATTGTCATAATAATATCGACATACTCTTATCGATGAACAGACTAGACTTGCTCGGAATAGAGAAGTGCGTGAGATGAAATCATTTAAGAGGCAAAATAAGCGGCAGCAAGGGACTTCAAGCTTCATTTATAGTCTTTTCTGGCTAAAATCGCATGGCCAAAAGGGTTTGAAGAGAAAAGCACTATTAAATCACTACTGAAAGTAAGCAAGATGATCTAAAATAAATTCATGATTGTTTTGCTTTTATGTAAAACAATTAAACAGATCAAAAGTGACTACAAGTTCTCTTTTACCTCCCCGGAAATGGTTTCGAAAAAAAATCATGTCAGAATGAACCGAAAAGTGTCAATTTTTTGTGACACGTGGCAAGGAGGCAGTCCTCGTAGATACTATAAAAAATTATTCTTAGACTAAAGAAAGTATCACATGGGAGCCTTTCGAAGAAATGGGTCCGGATAACGGAAAAGTACCGATATTTTCGCTAAGAATTTCTACGAGTCAATATCTAATCATACAGAAATTTCCTTAAATTCACTTCTGTCCCTTCCACTCTGCAAAAACCATACTTCTGCCTCTGAAAGCAGAAAAGTGGTCTCTGGGGAAGGACAGACCCATGAGCTTCATCCGGCACGGCATTTTCACTGAAACTTTTGGCTCTCAAACTGCAAAAACCACAAAACTCAAAAACCACACATCTGGCCCTAAAAGCAGAAAGACAGGGAGCTTGGTCTCGATGGAAGGAAGGATTATGGCCTCAGGCAGCAAGAGACTTTCGCCAGAAGTCCCTGGGTGTCACTGATTATACAGAACTTGCTTGAAATTTACTTCTGGCCCTTTTGGTCTCGAGGAGAAAACACTAATAAGCTCAGCCAGCAAGATACTCTCGCTGAAACTTTCTGGGTGTCAATGTTTATTCATACTGAAACTTGCTTCAAAAATTTACTTCTGGCCCTTCTACTTTGCAAAAAAACCATACTTCTGCCTCTAAAAGTAAAAAATCACAAAGTGCTCTCGAGGGAAGGACAGACCCATGAGCTTCATCCGACAGGACATTCTCGCTAAGACGTTTGACCCCCTAGACTTCGCAAAAACCAGTACTTCTGCTCCTAAACGCACAAAAGCACAGAAAATCCAGTCTCGGGGGAAGAAAGAATCATGGCTTCAGGCAACAAGGTATTTTCGCCAGAAGTTTATGGGTGTCAATAATCATACAAAAACTTGCTTAAAATTTACTTCTGGCCATTCTACTTTGCAAAAACCACACTTCTTCCTCTAAAAGCAAAACAGTACAGATAGCTTGGTCTCGAAAAAATGGCAGAACCATGAGGCTTCATGCGACAAACATTTTCGCTAAGGCGTCTGACCTCCTAGACTTCGCAAAAACCAGTGCTTCTGCCCCTAAAAGCAGAAAAGCACAGGGAATTTAGTCTCTAAGAAAGGACAGACCCATGAGCTTCTTGCAACAGGACATTTTCACACAAACTTTTGGCCCCTTCTACTTCGCAAAAACCAGTACTTCTGCCCTGAAAGCAGAAAAGCACAGGGATTTAGTCTCTAGGGAAGGACAGACCCATGAGTTTCATCCGACAGGACATTTTCTAAGACTTTTGACTCCCAAACTTCGCAAAAAACCATAAAACTCAAAAACCACACTTCTGGCCCAAAAAGCAAAAAAGCACAAAGAGCTTGGTCTCGAGGGAAGTAAGGATTATGGCCCCAGGCAACAAGATGTTTTCGTCAGAAGTTTATGGTTGTCGATGTTTCATTATACAGAAACTTGTTTGAAATTCGTGGCCATTCTACTCTGCAAAATCCATACTTCTACCCCTAAAAGCAAAACAGCACAGATAGCTTGGTATCGAGGAAAAGAGACTCATAAGCTCAGCCAGCAAGATATTTTCGCTGAAAACTTCTGGGTGTCAATGTGTATTCTACAGAAACTTGTTCAAAATTCACTTGTGGCCATTCCACTCTGCAAAAACCAGACTTCTGCCTCTGAAAACAGAAGAGTGGTCTCGAGGGGAAGACAGACCCATGAGCTTCTTGCGACAGGAAATGGCCTTCTGAATTTTGCAAAAACCACACTTTTGTCCCTAGAAGCAAAAAGCAGGGGCTTGGTCTCGAGGGAAGAAAAGACTCAGGGCTCAGGCAGCAAGATATTTGCGCTAAAAGTTAGGTGTCAATATTTGATTATACAGAAACTTGCTGGAAAAATTACCCTTCTTCTCAACCATACTTCTGCTAAAAGCGAAAGCATAAGGAGCTTGGTTTCGAGGGAAGGAAAGAACTAGGGTTTTATACGACAGGACAGTTTCGGTAAGATTGTCCTTCAAAAGAAGGCGCTGGGCCAGCTTCTGTTCAAGAAATGAGCCCGTTCACTGGCAAGACATCATAGAAGAAAATGCTGCTTCGTTTTTACAGACATATTTGAGTTTTTGGCTGCTGGAAGACATAAATTGACGCTTCCTTTAACATGGCACTTTCCTGGAAATCAATCTGAGTTTTGGGATGAATCAGCTGCTCTAAACAGGTGCTTCGAGGTAGCTTCCTTGTTTAAGAGCTGCGGTATCTGGGCAAAGGTATGTGCAAGAAAACAGCAAAGATGCTTTGCGCATAGTCAGTGGTAGTAGCTTCTTTTCCTAAGAGCATATTGTTTTGTTTCTACTACTCACAACATGCGAAAGGTTGCTGGGAAGATGAAAATTCTCTTTCTTGGGATTTTAGTTAATTAATGGCAGATATCAATGTATCTGCCCCCACCCACCTACTAGCGACCCGTAGGGTCGCTAGTCTTATATATAAAGCTGAATGTCTGTTTGTATGTATGTCTGTCTGTCTGTCTGTCTGTATGTATGTCTGTACGTATGTTCCGAATAGAAAATTCCATTTCTGAACCGATCCGGACCAAACTTGGCACACATACACTTCGGGCCCCTGCGGGTGTCACAGGCTACTTTTCGTCATCGATCGATATCGATTTTATCGATTTTTATCGATTTTTTCGCTGAGTTCACCTACGGGGCTGGGAGTTGGCACAGGGGGGTAATCGAGCATGGGGATTCCGAATACAATATTGGTTTTCAGGATTATCGATTACTTTTATCAATTTTATCGATTTTTTTGCAAAGTTTGAGCTATGGGGCTGGGAGTTGGCACAGGGGGGTAATCGAGCATGGGGATTCCGAATACAATATTGGTTTTCAGGATTATCGATTACTTTTATCGATTTTATCGATTTTTTGCAAAGTTTGAGCTACGGGGCTAGGAGTTGGCACAGGGGGGTAATCGAGCATGGGGATTCCGAATACAATATTGGTTTTCGGGATTATCGATTACTTTTATCGATTTTATCGATTTTTTTGCAAAGTTTGAGCTAGAGGGCTGGGAGTTGGCACAGGGTGGAAATCGAGCATGCTGATCATCCCCAAGGGGGGTGATCAGCATGCTCGATTACACCCCTGTGCCAAATTCCAGCCCCCTAGCTCAAATTTTCAAAAAATCGATAAAATCGATAAAAGTAATGGACGATCCTGAAAACTAATATTGTGTTCGTAATCAGCATGCTCGATTACCCCCCTGTGCAAAATCCCAGCCTCGCATGTCAAAATTTACAAAAAATTGATAAACTCAATAAAAGTAATCGATAATTCTGAAAACTAATATTGTATTCGGAATCCCCATGCTCACTTCCCCCCTGTGCAAACTCCTAGTCCTGTAGGTGAACTCTGCAAAAAAATCGATAAAAATCGGTAAAATCGACATCGATCGATAACGAAAAGTGGACTGTGACACCCGCCGGGGCCCGAAGTGTATGTGTGCCAAGTTTGGTCCGGATACGGCGGAGCCGGGTAAGCCAGCTAGTATGATATATTTGTATCTCAATAAAACACGTAATTTTTCCGTGAAAAAACTAATCCTACTCACCGAGGTTAAGTGTAACCCTTGTGCCATAGGCTATAGTACCATTGGGTGAGATGAACATATTGAAGTTATGTACAGTAACCTCATGAAAGTAAGCTGTTCTGGCATTGGCAAAGTAGAGGTCGGGCAACCAAATTTGGTTTAATACGGACTTATCTGAAACAAAGAATCTGACTATTCCTTCTTTATATATAATCAATAACTTGGATTTTCAGAGAGTTGAGAAAAGAATTTTTAGAAAAAGAGAAAGAAACATACCGTCTATCAGCACCCAATCGTTGCCATTGTGTCTCATGCGAGTGTCTTGCCAAGTCATGTAGAGATACAGATCCATATCAAAAGTCTGTAATTTTTCAACTTTGTCTAATATTATATTTTTGTAGCTCTTCCAAAGCCTACTCCAGAACGAGCAAAGCGCAGCTTTTCTTAACCTTTTACAGCGTTTATCTGCTTTGATACTGGTAAAGTCTTAAATGAGCAAATATTTTAATTTTCAAGCTTAACCATATTTTCGCAAACGTTATTGAGCTTTACCGTAGTACTTTTTTTGGTGCAAGGTAAATCTAAAAATGCTAGCTCTTTTTACAGATTTTGAAGCCTTTAGCTTTCCGCTGAATTCTAGCATAAATGGCAGTTTGCTAATGGGCAAAAGATAGCTATTATCGTTATAACTTTCACGCATATATTCAGAATCAGCGTCCTTCAATCTATCTAGGAACATAATCTCTTGAAAGTTAAAAATTTTTCATTTATGCGGTGACGTCACGGTAAACGTCCGCGCTCTTAGGATTTTTAGCTAATAAGTCGATTATAAAACTTGAAAAGATCTTCCTCCTCATTCATGAAGTCGGAAGCTTAGAAACTCTTTTTAAACCAAGATTTTTTTAGCTGAGCGAAAACATCGAATATTGAAGGGTCGTAATAAAATTGCAGTCATATGAAAATCACTTGAAAATGGCAAATAAAGCAACAAATTCTGAATTTTGGAAAAATTCGGAGGAATTATTTCGAAAATTTCAAAGGCGGCACCGATGGTACTGTAGGATCGCTGGAAACTTCTGACACTAGAGATCCTAAGTGATTTCAATCCAAACCGGAGCTCAAAAGGAATTCACATCATACACTTACCGCCAACATAGTGTTTGATGCCAAATCCGCACGCTAAGATTTTTCTTTAACACATTGACGACAATACGACCCACCCGTGGGTCGTACGTGTACTGCCATTTCGGACAATACGACCCACCGGTGGGTCGTAAGTTTTCGAAAGCTCCAACTTTGCCAGCATGCGATGGAATTCTACGGTATTCTGGCACATGATTGGTGACACCTTGGCAAAGCTCTAGCCGGAGTGGTCCGGGTCCGGGATACTGAAATGTAATGTTACGGTAGGTATACCGTAGATAGAAGTTAGGCACAGATTTTAGCTCGAATTTCTCGCAGAGTGGTGCTGTTTTTGACAATTCAAGTTTACATGCACAAGAAATACAGGGAGAGCATGAGACTGATGTCAGCCCATCAAAATTATCGATTTTATTGATTTTTCGCATTGTTCATCCCAGGAAGCTCAAACCTTGCATATATAGGTTTTTTAGCATGCTGATTACGAAAATGATAGTCTCAAGTACTAATACCGCCTTCTTACATCAGTTTCTTGATTCTTATAAAAATTCTGCCGTACTGCTACCGTAGTCCCACTGCGGGAAAGTAGTGAACAAAATAGACACTATAATCGTGATCAACATGTGAAATAACCCCAAAACACAATTTTTCACGAAAATCCGTGATGTTGGGTTCGTACAGAGTGACTACAGTAATCTTACCGTATACTGCCAAAAACTGAAACAAATTATATTTTGATAATCAGCGCCTCCGATAACCCTTGTGGGGATATTCTCAGAGACATGCTTTGAATTTCTTACAAAAAGACTACCATTTGGGACAATACGACCCACGGGTGGGTCGTAAGTTTGGCAGAGCAAAAAAGGCTCCTGTCCGAAATGGCAGTAATCGAAAAATCGCCCTTGTCGTCAATGTGTTATCTATTCGACTGAAAATTCTCTTATGTATTCTAATCTGGCCAGGTCCCACTTCCGCCGATTGGGACTTAGCACTAATACCGATTCATAGTTAAGCAACACCTACTTCCTCTATGAAGACTAATTTTAAAAAACTTTGCTCTTACCATTTCCGTGGACCTAAAATTTCCAAGGCTCTCAACATAGAATCCAATATGCACTTTGAGCGGCTCTTTCCTCCCGTTCGTTGGCATCGACTTGGCTTGTATTTGTGAATAAATAGGGTGAAGAGCATCTACTGCACAGCTGAAAAGTAGGTTCATGAGTAAGGGGTACAAAGAAGCTGGTAAAAAACTTACTACTGAATCTGTAATCTACAGTCAGAAGTCATTTCTATGTAAACAAATCGGTTTTCCTACAGAGCCCTGTATTTTAGATTTTATTATTTGTGACTATTCTATTTATTGTTGCGACGAACTTCCAGTGTAAACAATGTTTTGCCGTCTGTATTCAGCTTTTCCAAGGAAACTCATATATTTGTGGAAACAGTCGATGATTTGGAACCAGGGCTCGGGAATTGGCACCAGAGCGAAATTTCCGAACGAAGTCTCTTTGATCTTAAAAACTTCGTGCGAATTCCCTTCTGACCCTATACCCTAAACGTAAAAAACCCTCAAAATACGAAACGTCTACTAAAAAACGTCACAATTTTTGTGTTTTTTCAACCACAGAAACGATATCGACTTTGCTTTTTCGGTCTCAAAACGAATCCAGCTGGACCCGATGCCAGCTGTGCCGGGCCCTGTTTGGAACTGATGAAGTGGCATTGTTTATGTGGTCTGAATTCGATTCCAAGGATGCTCTGGATTTTTTTCCTGTGTCCTTTCCCCGCACATCGATATAAAAGCGCCATTATTTATGAAAAGTCGAAATAAGTAGCAATAAATGCGCTCTGCAAGTCAGCTGCGTCTGCAAAATGCGAAAATTGCAAGAACGATATTGGACTCGAAAGAAAAGATATCATATTGTGATTCCAATTCATGTAAGCTTATAGAAAAGAATCGAACAAAGATGAACATAATCTATGCAGGTTTTGCAAGATTATTCTTCATTATTAGGTCTTCCACTATTCCCCTCTAAAAATTTTCAAAAGCTTTCTCTCGAAACTACTGTTAAATAAACATGCTTTTCGAAACTTGAAAAAAATTGTTTACGAGCTGACTTTTTTGGACTTAATGACAGGAATTATCGTGTGAGCGACAGCCATATTCAGCATATAAGCAAAAACAGCTTTTGAATGAGTAAACAAAAGAAAAGAGAAAAAAACAGGAAACTCATTTGGCGCGGAATTCGTGGAAACGGAGACGGGGACGAAAAAGTACATAGAGAGAGAAACAGATAACTTAGCAAAATTTTCTTCTGATTTCCACTTGCTACATGCTTGTTGGGAGGAACATAATGCCTTGTTAAAAAGACACAAAAATCCTTTTTTATTTCTGAAAGTCAAAATTTGTAATCCCATTCGTTTTTCCTGGTTCGTCAAAATTCAGGAAGTTGCTCCCATGAGGACAAACAAAACTAATTTGTGGGCAGTAGCTCAAATGGACTTAATTCAGTTTTTGAACTTGAATATAGAAGTGAAGAATAAGAGCCAGTAAATTGACCTACCATAATAAGAAACACAGAAAAGACGAGATTAGCCTCCCCAGTCTCATATCGCAGTTGATGGACTAGGATGATGCATCCGTAAATTGCTGAAATGAAAGGGGTGTGGCTCCACTGGGAGGCAAAAGACGAGAAGCACAGAACGATAAGTGAGTGTGGAAAGCTAAGGAAGCAAGCCTTTCATACCTGAGGCTAAATAATAACAAAAATGATGTGAAATACGACAAAAAGTGGGCTAAGTAGAGTGTGTTCTGATCATTACAGCAATGAAAAGTGTGGTAATAATATTTTCGTGTAGCTGGTAGAAAGACACAAAGAGCATAAGAACTTTAGATTAAAGCTGACGCCTAGAGTCTTCCGGAAGAGCAGTAGCGATGAAAATTATGAGTTTTTGAGGAAATTTAGCCATTTTTGGGAGAAACAATAGTTCCACTACCGAAGAAGTTGTTAGGTTACAGTAACAGCTGACGGCCTTCTACGTAGTTTGAGCTTTTTCATCCAATTGCTATAATAGATCGTGCGAAATTACATGTTTGAAATAACTACCACTTTTTGTTCTTCTATTCATTGTGCGATTATATGCTGCATTTGCCATCTAGAAGAAGGTTTTCGGGGGTCAATGAGGAAAACCTGAGGGGGATAAGTACCAGTTGCAGAAAGCGGATATGGCCACCATTGTTTTTTCAAAACGGATTGGATTCTAGAAAGAAATACAGCAGAATTGAGCACATGAGCACTATAAATGTAACGAACGAAATTTTCATTAAATGAACAATTATCGAGTAATTGGTTTTTGAAAATTTTCCGACGAATGAACATCAAATTATTAATTCTCGGAAAAATTTCGAATAAACGAATATTATTCGAATAGCAATTTTCAAAACATTCAGTTCGAATATACGAATATAGGCACATTCCAAAATTGGAAGTTTCTATTCGAAGGACCGAACTTGAACCGAATACTCCATTGTTCGAAACGAATAACGATATCATTCAGTACGACTGTTTTCCAAAACTTCTGTATTATTCGAAATAATTGTCTTTTGAAACCTTAATATTAGATTAAAATAAGATATTTTTCTAAGTCGTCGAATAAACTGACATTCAGATAAAACCCCTTCTCATTCATTCGACTATTCGAATAATCGAAATCCGATACGAATATTCGGTTCCAGCTATAATACGCACGTAATTTAAGGCTTGGTGATAATCTGAACATGAACCTGAGATTTCGTTAGTTCTTTTTCCATGAATTCTAATAAACTTGAAAACAAGTATGTTTCCGAGTTTTTTCAGAAATACCAAACTTGGTGCTGTTCTACCCAAAATATCTGAGATAGCACACATCAATTACATATTCTTGGGTGTAGGACGATTCGCACGACCGTAATGGTTTCCACACAGGACCACCGACGCGCGCGAAACACCCTGCGGCGGCTTTTGCCTAAGCAAAACAGGGGGAGGAAAGATTTGCGGCGTGCATTACATGTTAGGACGAGTCAAATTCAGGGAAACGTTGGAGACCGCCCGTGCGAAAAGACCGTCTTCCCATATTCTTGGTTGTACATATAGTGCCTGAGGATGAACTAACTGTCAAAAGACAATAACGGAAATTCTTAAGGAGGACATGACGCCTTCTTTCAAGACAGCAAGTGACTGACTCGTTAGCTTCGTTTCATAAGTCCTACTAGAGCAGGAATCCGCGCTTAGGCTCAACACTTCCTTTTCCATCGAAGTCAAAACACCTCAGATGTACTTGAGTTAAAAAAAACAAACTGATTGGATAAAGAAAAATCTGAAGCAAAGCGGAAAAAATTCTTTGCACCCTTCGTTTGCTAGACTTTTTCTAATGGGTCTACTATCTGATCGGAAACTAATGAGGAAAAAATGGACAAGAGTCTAAACAATTGTGTTGAGAATAAGGAAGAGGAAGTTAAAACGATTTACGAACGTCAACAGATACACCTCTGCTTGGAAGCTTTTCTTAGCAATATCTATAATATGTTTCAGCTTTGACTGAAGTTTGCATAAGAGACATGAGAATTTCGAGCAAGTAGTATAGGGCTAAAGAACCACATAAATTTTACGCAGTAGCTTCAAATAGCTTCACTGAATACTCTTAGTCTATTTATTGCCATTTTTTACGAATTTTTTCTGCACTTCAATACTGTAAGACAAGCAAATATCAGAAGTACATCCGTCCTTGGATGCTAAATTTCCGTTTCATTATTTTCTAGCAAACCAGGCTGCTATTTGCAGTCGAACGAATTTGTTCCTATCTTCAGATACTGCACATTCAGCAATATAGATTCCATAAATTGCCAGAACATTTTCAGGAAAGGGCGTTGATGTAAGTAGTTGAATTAAGCAGAGTAGAGCAAGGTAAGAGGGGGGGGATGGAAGGGGGGGAGGGAGGGGGGGGGGGGGAGGGAAGGAACAATTGCGAATAAGCTAACAATTTGAATTACACATCATTATGTCTAATTTGTAAACTTCCATTCAACTGGCTTGGCGGCTGGAAGGCGAGGTTCGTGGCCTAAGTGAGGCTAGATAATGAACAGAGAGCACGCGCGCAAGAGAGACCCAGACTGCGTCGAGGGCGCGAATAAGGTCACAAAGCCCCCCCTTCCAACAGTCAAGCCAGTTGGATTAAGGGTTAATTACTAGGAATTCCAAACCCTTCCTCGTTATCTCACCACATCAATTTTTAGATTATTCCCTTTCGGTAAGCCCCTACACAATTATTTTTACTGCATAAAGTGGGTAAGGGGAAGGAAGAAAGGGCAAGGAAGCTGTCACTCACATGTTGATATGTGTACCTTTCCCATCAAGGTGAAGAGTGAAAATATATCCTTAGTAAGGACAGCAATAGAATGTTATCTATTTAGAAGCTATGAAAAGAGCTATTGCTAGAGGCTGAAACGAAATAGCTTTCCATAATACAGGGGTTAGCAATAATTATTTCCAAGGTAATTTAACCTTTCAAAAGAGATTTTTTCTACAATTGTCAACCTCGTGCTACATCTGAAAACATCGCCTATAGTTAATACCCAGCTGTATGTACTCATTTCTCACTCCCTACACTTTCATTTCCTAGCAATTATTCTTATAAATCACAGCGCACACGCAATTATTAACAGAATAACAAACAGGAAAGGAGAGATCGAAGAATATGCGGGAAGTTCTGGTCAAAGTTCTAGGAAGTGAAGTGCTTTTAGAAAGACACTAATCAAAATGGAAATCCGTGAAATATGACTCTTCTGCGAAAGTAAGCAAATGAAGGAGGCATTTACTGCAAAATTTCAAAATTATAGAAGGTGGTCTAAAAGCTGTTCGCCTTATTTTAAAAAATCTAATTTCTTTGCATCTCCATAGACCTTATTAAAAGTTTATTGGCCCATGCGCTGTACACAGTACCTTTGATTTAGATCACTTCGAGAAAATGTGAGAACTAGAGGCAAATGGCAAATGTACTCAAGAATAAAGTTTTTCAATGGCAAAAAAACTACCTAAGTCGGTAGGTTTTAGTATAATTTGAATTTTTGAATTTTTTCTACAAGAATGACCAATATGTAAAAAATATCCTATTTAGGTGTCATCCTAGCATTTTCAGTAACTTTGAATAGTTTTCTTCATTAGCTAACTTTCGCACTCTCTTACACATATTTACATGAAAGGCATTCCTGTAAAGCGCATAATTTCTGCCGTCAACATTTTCACGAAACTTCATAGAGATACAAAAAGGTTGTAAATATTGAAAAAAAAACGAAAAAAAAACAATATTCCGAACAAACCTGAGATCATTATAATGAGCGCAGAAGCTGTTATCTCAAAAAAAAAAACCTTTTTCCTCATCTGCAGCAACATTTGAAAATCTGTGTCGAAATCAGGGCTCGGCACGAGCTGGCACCAGAGAATTTTCAAAACGAAGTCACCCTTGATTTAGATTTTTCGAAGTCCCCTTTGAAACCCTAAACGTAAAAAAAACGAAACGTCGACTAGGAAACGTCGCAATTCGTCTACAAAAACGATATCCCCTTTGCTTTCTATCCCAAAAACGATATCCAGCTTGCCCCGTGTCAGCTGGTGCCAGGCCATGGTTGAGATTGAGAAAAAACGGTCTTCTCACTAAAAATTTGATGTTTTATCTCATTTTCAAGCTGTCCATTTCTTTTGCATATTTGTCCATCTATTCACGCAACTTTTTGGCAAGTTTTTGATTTATCGTATTCTTGCAGACTCACGTCACCGGAAAGATAATGGAACAGTTCTTGTCATCAATCATGTCCAATGATGTTCGCAATGCGAAAAACCAAAGAGTGGATCTGGGGGTGAATGAAGTAGATCCAACACCCCCTGGGGATATCTTAGCAGCAACGAGCTGCGCTGAAATGAGTGCGGATTTAAGGCTTCAAAGATCTGCATCTGTCTGGAGGAAAATAGTGAATTAGCCTTCGTTAATTTTCATGACTTTGATATTCTTTGCTTGAACAAAACGATCGCTCCTTATAAGTAAATTATGTATATCATAATTTACGATAATAAAAATGAGGGTCTAAAAGAAAAACTGGTCAGAGCAGAACATGATTCTTGTTCATTTTATTCTTAATTTTACTTTTCAAATTCAGCGTCCTCATGTTTATGAGGAAGAAAGATTTATATATCCATATTCGCCCAGCTTCAATCCAAAACACTGATTTTTTTGAGCAAAGCCTTGTGAGCCTTATAAAAAGAATCAAAAAATCATAAGAGATTTAAATGTTGAGTTCAAAACAAATTTTATGCACAAAAATGGGAAACAAATCCAAAAAATTCGTATTTGAGCTATTATACAGAGTTAATTTAGATATGGAACACTTTTTTGATGAACTTGAGCACCGCTTCTTTTGTGCAAAGATTTTCCAGTACTGTTAGCGTAGTATCGATTGCTTGCACACGCGTTTCCGTGCGTATACAACAATCGATATCGCACTGCATTTGCAAGATTTGCATAAAGATTCTTTTTTACACAGAGAGTAGAGCAATTAAACTCTGACCTCTGGAGAAAAAA